ATTTTTAAATGGAACAAGAGGGTGACACTCCAGTTCCTGGTTCCTAGGTAAGGGGAAGGGAGGGAAAAAGGGTAAAAATGGGCAAAAAAACAACAAAGAGAAGAAATGGGAAGAGAAGTCAAAAAAAAGAAAAGAGCGGAAGAACAAGATAATTCGAAGAAAAAGCTTGAAGGAGGGACACCTAAAAGGAGGAAGAAGAAACCGAGTGAAGTGGAGAGATTGAGGTGCGAAGTGGACTATGACAAGGGGTGTTCTGGGAGAAAAAGAAGGTAGTCAGGTTAGCAAAAGGTGGTTTCTAGGGTTGTTGATAAATTAGGTTCTCAATGAAGATTATTAGTTGAAATGTATGGGTACTGGGGAGTTCCAAGAAGAGAAGAGTGATAAAAGGAAATGCTCAGAAAAGAAAAGTCAGATATTGTGTTGATTCAGGAATCAAAATTGTCAGAGGTGGATAGGAGATGGGTGAGAAGTATTTGGTCGGCTAGAGGACTGAGTTGGGCTTTTGCACAATCTTGGGGGGCCTCAGGGGGTATTCTGACAATTTGGAAAAATGAGGATTTGGATTGTACAGAAGAGTTAATTGGTAATTATACGGTTACAATGAAATTCAGAAGAAGAATTGACAGATTTGAATGGACTTTAACAAATGTTTATGGGCCAAATTCGTATAGAGAAAGGGAGGAGTTTTGGGAGGAATTAGTAGCTATAAGGGTATTGTGGGAGGGCCCGTGGTGCTTGGGAGGGGATTTTAATGTCATCAGGTTTATAACTGAAATAGATAACCCCAACAATAGGATCACCTCTAGTATGAGGAACTTCAACCGTTTTGTGGATTCTTTTGAATTGAGGGAGCTACTGTTGGTGCAAGCTGATTTTACATGGTCTAATTTTCAGGAAGAACCACTTGGTTGTAAACTAGACAAATTTTTATTCTCTTCAAATTGGGAGGAAGTATGGGGTGGTTTGGTGATGAGGGCACTACCTAGACCTACGCCGGATCATTGTCCAGTTAGACTATCTCAAGAAAGACTAGGAGGAGGACCTTGCCCCTTCAGATTTGAAAATATGTGGCTGTTACATCTAAACTTTCAAAAGAAAGTGAAAGAATGGTGGGGAGAGGATCAGGTGGAGTTTAGATGGAAGGGATATAGATTTTATAAGAAGCTACAAAAGCTAAAAGCCAGGATCAAAGCTTGGAACAAAGAAGAGTTTGGTAGAATTGAAGACAGAAAGGAGGCTATTAGTAAAAGGATTCAAGAACTTGATGTTGCTGAGGTAGAGAGAGGATTGAGGCGTGAAGAAAGGGAAGAGAGATGGAAGTTGAAACAAGAGTTGGGGGAAATTCTCAGAAAAGAAGAGATAAGCTTGAGACAAAAATCAAGATGCAAGCGGTTGAAGGAAGGAGACGATAAGACAAGTTTTTTTGATAGCTTGGCAAGTGGAAGAAAGAGGAAGAACATAGTGGAAAGTTTGGAATGGAATGGGGCAATGCTGACAAGAGAGGAAGAGATTGCAAATGCTTTTGTGGAGCATTTTAAATCCATTTATGACATCCCCAGTAGAATAAGAGAGACTCTAACCGACTTTGAGTGGCATGTTGGAGAAAGGGAATTGTTGGAACCCCTAGAAAGACCATTTGAGGTTCAAGAAATAAAGGAGGCAGTTTTCTCAATGGAAAGATCAAAAGCCCCGGGCCCGGATGGATTCACTATGGCTTTTATCAAGACTGTTGGGACATCTTAGGTGATGACCTAGTGGAGGTCTTCTTGGAATTATTTGAAAGAGGAAAAATAAATGCGGGTGCAAATGCTACTTTCATAGCTTTGATCCCTAAGAGGGTGCCTGCAGTTCAGCCCAAGGACTTTAGACCGATAAGTCTAATTGGGAGACTGTATAAGATCATTTCTAAAGTTCTAGCACTAAGACTCAAGAAAGTCCTTCCGTCCTTAATCTCACCGAATCAAGGGGACTTTGTGAAAGGCAGACAAATTATTGATCAGATTTTAATAGCCAATGAATGTGTGGATTACAAAAAAAGAAAAGGAGAAAAGGGTCTGATCTGTAAACTTGACTTAGAAAAGGCTTATGATTTGGCGTGTTGGGAGTTCTTGCTAGAAGTGTTGAAGAACAGAGGCTTTGGGGAGAGATGGTGTAAGTGGATGAAGGGTTATATGACCTCTTGTCACTTCTCAATCTTAGTGAATGGAGTAGCTAGGAACTTCTTTCCTGCAAAGAGGGGCCCTAGACAAGGAGACCCTTTGTCACCTTTCCTTTTCACCTTAGTAGTGGATGTCCCAAGTGTCTTGATTTCTAGGGCTGATTTAAGAAATTTACTGAAAGGATGGAGAGTTGGGAGGCACCAAGTGATTGTCACTCACCTACAATTTGCAGATGATATCATTCTCTTTTGTAAAGGGGAAATTGAGGAGATGGATAATTTGAGATTGGTGGTGATGCATTTTGAGAGAGTCTCCAGTTTGAAAATCAATTGGAACAAGAGTTGTGTAGCACGGATGAATTTACGGGATGATGAAGTGCAGTTGGTGGCTAGGGCTTTAGGTTGTGAGGTAAGTGGTTGGCCTCTGGTATATTTAGGTCTGCCCTTGGGGGAAATCCTAGAATAGAAAACTTTTGGTACCCAGTTTTAGAAAGATTTACTAAGAAGCTAGCAGGGTGGAAGAGAAATTACATCTCACTAGGGGGTAGAATCACTTTAATCAAGTCCACTCTGGCCAACCTTTCGGTGTATTTTCTGTCTACCTTTAAGCTTCTTGCCAAGGTTGCCAATAAGTTAGAAAAACTCATGAGAGATTTTCTGTGGGAATCGGGTGACTCGAAGGATCATTTAGTTAAGTGGGAAGTAGTTTCTAGGAAAAAGGAAGCGGGGGGGGGGGGGTCTAGGCATTGGCAATATTAGATTAAGAAATGTAGCTTTGTTAGGTAAGTGGTTGTGGAGATTTCCTTAGGAGCAGGACAGTTTGTGGGATTTGGTGGTGGAAAGTATTCATGGGATGGCAGCTAATGGATGGGATGCTAGCATCGACCCTAGGGCTTCTCATTTCTCCCCTTGGAAAGCAATTGCTGGAGTCTTGTCTTCCTTTCAGCCTTTCATCAGATTTGATGTGTGCTCGGGTAATAAAATTTTGTTTTGGGAGGATCTTTGGCTTGGGAATACCCCCCTTAAGGATAGATTCCCGGTAATGCGTTCTCTTTCCCTAAATAAATTCAAAACCATCTCCTCACTTCGTGTCTGAGGGGACTTGGGATTTGGGTTTGGGAAGAGGGTTAAGGGATTCAGGATTGGCTTCTGCAGATGAGTTGTTCACTGTGTTGAATTCAGTTTTCTTAGATCTTTCCTGACCAGATAGTAGAATTTGGAAAGAGTCCTCTTCAGGGATTTTCTCTTGCTCGTCTTTTTTCAACGCCTTAGTTCAGTCCTCTTTTGTGTCTATCTCTTTTCTTGCTAAAGAAATCTGGTATTCTCCTTTGCCGCCAAAGGTTAGGGCTTTTTGTTGGGAAGTGGCTCTTCAAAAGATCAATACTATGGATGTACTTCAAAGAAAAAGGCCAGACTAGAGCCTTTCCCCACGTCTGTTACCTTTGCTTAAGAAATGGTGACTCATCTTTTGATTTCTTGTCCTTTTGCTTATTATTTGTGGGATTGGTTCTTTTCCTTGCTTGGTTACAGATGGAACCCCCCTCGGGTGTGTTGAACCTTTTTGACTCTAGCTTCTTCTGATAACCAAGGAAAATGGGCAGGGTAATGTGGAGAATAACAAGAGCTGCCATCCTATGGTCAATTTGGGAAGAAAGAAACAATAGGATCTTCCTAGGGCAAGAAAAAAATCCAAGGAAGCACTTGTAGAGGTTGTCACCATCAAGGTTATGCACTGGCTGAAAGTACATCATCTATTCAAGGATTTCTCCTCAACGGACTTAATTAGAAATTGGAGTGCTATAGCTATATCCTCGCCTTCCTCAGTTCAGGGTGAAGCTAAACTTTGATGGAAGCTCCTCGGGTAATCCAAGTCAGTTGGGAGTTGGGGGTGTGTCCAGAAACGAGGAAGGAAAAGTCTTGGCCCTTTACTCGGGCCCAATTGGGGTGGGAGATTCATTAAGGGCAGAAGTAATGGCCTTACTACAAGGTTTGAAACTGGCGAAACAATGGGGAATGCAACAATTAAAAGTGGAAGGTGACTCCATGCTGGTAATAGGGTGGATGCAAACTGGAAATATGGGAGTGTGGTCTCTTAGACAGCCTCTAAGAGAGATTATTAGCTTAGCAAGGGAGATTGGGGTGACTTTAATTGGGTAAGAAGGTCAGCAAATGGAATGGGTGACACTATAGCAAAGCAAGGAGTTACTAGGGAGGCTTTGTTTTGGGCCTGTTTGTAAGTTTTTGATTTTCTTTTTCCTTCCATTTTGTGGGTGGTAAGCTTGTAATCTTTTCAATTATCTAATGAAAGTTACTGTTTCCTATTAAAAAAAAAGATAAGTTGCAATTTTAAATTCTAATTGTCAATTCAGAATTGCCAAGTGAGCTTTTATGGTTGTCCAAATAATCTGTAAGTAATATCGAAGTTTGAATGGTTATTTACCTATTATTGTTAATCAATTAATCAATTTTGAGAATCTAATCAAGCATAGTAATCTACAAGAGGAAGCTAGATGAGTGTATCATATTAACCTAGTAAGATAGAACATAAAAGAAGGTATTTTGATATCCATAATCCATTAAATTGGAGAAAACAAAGATTCTGTGAATGCATGAAACTACCAATCCACCAGGTCATAGGTTGCTGCTTTGTTAAAACATATCATTTTACATATTTTGTAAGGTAATGCTATAGAGTATATCTAGTGAGTTGCATGCAGCATTGTCCCGGGCACATATTGTGTCTAACGCTGTAGGTTAGACATGTACAAATATCCAGGTATCATAGTGAGAGATAGTTCTTTTTCATTTTTTTAGCCCCTAACCATTTTCTTTTTTGTTCCAGTTTACAGGATTTATACATCCATTCTCTTTCATGCGTCGTTGCTGCATGTTATGTTTAATATGCTGGCTTTAGTACCTTTGGGTTCAGAGATGGAAAGAATAATGGGATCAGTCCGCTTGCTGCACGTGATCATATTATTGGCTACAAGCAATGCTATTTTTCATCTTCTTATTGCTCTATTAGTAGCCCATAATCCTTTTCATCCTTATCAGTATCTCATGAATGAATGTGCAATAGGCTTCTCAGGAATCTTATTCTCTATGATTGTTATAGAGACAAGTCTGAGCGGCGTTCAATCCAGAAGGTGGGTTTTTCTTTACTTGTTAATTGTTTACTTTGCCTTATGCTTTTTATAACTTGTAGTGTGCATGAAAACTACTTGCCATATGTGTGCATTTGAGGAAAAATGCAAATGCAGTGAAACAAATATTCAAGATGCCATGACCTTTCTGTCTTCTGTTTTTCAGTCTGTTTCATGCTATCCAATGATACTCTAATGGTTCATTTATCTTTTCCGTAGTAGCTAATCTTCTTACAAAGTGAGCTTTCTTTCTTGCAGTGTGTTTGGACTATTTAATGTCCCAGCTAAATGGTAAGTGCGCCAGTTTGCTAGTGATGTTTACATGTATCTTATTTGGTTTTTATTGGGGTTGCTTTCACATGCAATATGTTGATGTAGTATATTTATTTTCAGGTATGCTTGGATTTTGTTAGTAGTGTTCCAGCTTCTCATGTCAAATGTCTCATTACTCGGTCACTTGTGTGGAATCTTGTCTGGATTTGCATGTCTGTTCTTCCATTTCCTACCACACTTTGCAATGGCCCTTTCAACTGTTCCTTTCATTTTAATGTATGGCACATTATTGAATTGTCAGAGAAGTTACTTACCATTCTCTATCTTCAATCTAACCAGACACCTATGGATTGTTTAACTACTTGTTACCTGGATCCTCTTTCTACTCTGCCATTGAGAGCTCCTCATTTCTTGTAAGTTTTCTAATGAACTGGCTTTTGACATTGAATAGCGTAGTTTATTTGCTTAATTCTGTAGAAAAGTCATTGGTAACTAATTGTATATTCTGAGAATTATTTAGATGGAACATTTGTTAAATGTCAAGCACTATCTGATCTCTATGTACCATTTTTTTGATCTATAATATCAGGGATGCCATTATTGATATTTTGAAAAAAAAGATACTCCTCTTAATTAGGAAAACCTAAGTGCTGAGAAAACAAATATGAGGATGTAAAGAGAATGCTAGAGGAAGATTTCATGCTAATGTTCAAGGATTTCTTTGATTCTAAGCTGCTGGACAAATGGCCAATGCTTTGTTTATCTCTTTGATACTGAAGAAGGATGGGGCTCTTGACATTAAAGGCTTCCATCCAATAAGTTTGATTTTGTAGTCCTTATAAGCTAGTTGCAAAAGTTCTGTCAACAAGGCTAAGAAGGATGATTCATGAAGTAGTTGGTGAGAGTTAAATAGCTTTTGTGGAAGGTAGACAACAAGGCTCATTTCTCCCTTGTTGTTTGTTTTGGTTATGGAAACTCTTGTTACTAAGCAAGGGGGTGCAGTTTGGTCTGATTGAAGGCTTTAAAGTGGGGGCAGCCCATGCATTTCCCATTTACAATATGTGGATGACACTGATTTTTCTGGATGCATCTGTGGATCAGTTATTGAATTTGAGAGTTATTTTGGATAGTTTTGAATTGTTGATGAGCCTGAGAGTGAATCTAGCAAAGGGCACCATAATTGGACTTGGGGAGGTCAGAAGAGAAGTGGAGGAGGAATGCGCTGCAGCCTTTGAATGTCAAGTAGGTGAGATCTCGGTTCACTATTTGGGTCTGCCAGTTGGAGCTAAGACCACTGTAGTAGCTATCCGGAGGGCAATCATTGAAAAAGTTGAGAAAATCTTGACAGATGCAGGCTAAATACCTGTCTTTGGGGGGAAGAATAATGTTGGTTAGAAGTGTTCTCTCAAGCTTAGCAACTTTCTATATATATATATATATATTTGTTTTGATAATTGAAATTATTTTATAAAACAGCAATAGACAATAGTACAAAGTCCTCAAGGAAAGGTACGAGTTGCAACCTCTCAGGGCTAGTTGAGTACAGATTTCCACATTAATAACAACTTACATAGAAGCACAAAAAAGATCTTTCCTAGAAACCCCCTGTTTGGCAAAAGCATCAGCCAAAGAATTAGCAGACCTACTAACCCATTTTACCTCAACTCTCATATTGCTGGTTAACCACTTTACTTTTTTGATGAGATCTTTGTAGCCCCAAATGGTGGTATCCAAGTTTAGGAGCCACCTGGT